TGCCAATCCTGCTGAACTATCTCACTGGCCCTCAATAATACACCTTTAAGGCAAATATTTTCACTCAAATTCAAATGTAGGGTAAACTTCCTTAATCTCTTCTGTTTCTATGACAAAATACCCAAGGCTGGGTAATTTGCCAAGAACAGAAGTTTATTGGCTGACGGTCTTAGGCACCTGGTGAGACTCTTCTTGCAGCCTTGTAACATGGCGGAGGACACTACACCGTGAGACAGAACACGTGTGCTACTGAGGGTCTTGCTCACGCATCACACAGAAATATTAATGCCATGTGGGCCTTGTCCCCTGTGACTCCACCTAATCTTAATTATCTCCCCAAAGTCCTCACTCCAAATGCTGTTAACACACAAATTTCAGTCCTAAGTTTCCAACACACAAACTTTAGAAAAAACACATTCAAGCCACAGAACAATCAACATTTAGAAAGTTTGAGGAAATTTCTTCAGATCACATTTTTGCCAGATAATAGACCCATTGGCCCATCCCAGTCTGGTAACTTCAGAGTACTTCTCACACATGAGCAAGATAGTCCTGGAGAGACCATCTGTCCAGGTCTCCCCAATAATTCAATGTCATACTGCAAGATCTTCCACAGCAGTCACCTGTGATTCCACAAGCAGGCCTGACAGCTACACTTCCCTTTCAGTTCATCTGAGTTTGTAATCAACTTAAACCCACACACACTTGTACCCAAATGGTTACCAAGACTGGTGCACCAACCAAGACACTTCTTTTACAGAGTCAAGTTTCATCTCCTTTTGTGCTAACTGTTAGAGCACTGGCTTTGCCTCATGAGAACACGAGATTCTGACACACGGAACTGCAGTCTGTAAAACTTGTCCTGACTTAAGAAGCTGTGGTTTTGCGACATGAACCAAAACTCTAATGAAATTCAGTTCTGAGGAGACCAGAGCCTTCTGCACCCCTTCCCAGTCTGTTTCCTGGTATGCCCATGGGACCATCCAGCTACACCCTCCACCCCACAGTTTAGGTCAGACACAGCCAGGACCGTCAAGCAGCACCATGCTGATTTATCATCCTTTTATGACTCAATCAAGCAGCAGCAATGAATGAATCTCATGAACTTGAACTTGACAACATCTTCTCTCCATCTTCCCCAGAAAGAGGTAGGTGGTGAGCACATCCTTTCTTATTTATTAACCTGTTAGGAAACTAGCAACTACTTTGCTGGTGATTGTTTTAGATTAAAAAGGTGCTTAGCAGATGGCTGCATGGAGAACAGATCCACACTAACACCCCACACAGACTCAACTCCAAACGAATCAAAAACCTCAACGTAAGATCATACACACTGAATCAGATAGGAGACAAAGTGGGGAACAGCCTTGAACTCCTTGGCACATGAAAAGACTTTCTGAATGACACCAGTAGCACAGGCACTAAGAACAACAATTAATAAATGGGACCTCATGAAGCTGAAAAGTTGTATGGCAAAGGACACCGTCATTTGGACAAAGTAGCAGCCTACAGAGTGGGAAGAGATCTTCACCAATGATACATGTGATACAAATTATGTTTCTGAAAGAGGGTTTGTATCGAAACTATATAAAGAATTAAAACAAATTTAAACATCAAGAAAACAAATAACCCATAGAAATCCCCCAAATATCAAAGGCTATTACCAATGCTATTTGGTTACTTTCCACAACCTGACAATAAGGCCCTAGTGCTGAAGATGATGCTCATATATCTCACGAACATGGAGAAGTGAAGCTGGTGCCTAATTAGAGGCATCACTACTACTGACTAGTGTTCATGGTGCTGGAAGGTACTCTGCACGCTACCAGAGGAGAAAGGTAATCATCAACCCAGCTACAAACCTCACACAGAACCATATTCCGGGGTAACAGTGGCAGAGGTGTTAGAGGATTAACCAACCACTTTCAAATTGGATTTAAGGCCCATTCCATGAGATGAAACCCATACCTCACACTGCTAAAGTAGCCATGACCTGAGACTAGATAGACCATGAGTCTAGGGCAAAACCTAAAACTATTATTCTGTTAAAAGAACATTAAAAAATGACTCCTAATGATATACTGCTTATACCGATAGACTGGTGTCTCACTAAGCTGTCATCAGAGAAGCTTCCTGCAGTAGATGGGAACTAATCCCGAGACCTACAATTGGACAATGTGTGGAGTGTGAGAGACTTCGGAGCACTCGATCTCAAATGGGATGTCTGCATCAAATTCTTTTCCTCAGAGCTCGGGAATCTATGGGGAGAAGAGGTGAGAAATTCTAAGAGGTGGAGGTGATGAATGATTCCAAGAGAACAGTGTCTTCCAGACACAGTAGGATGGAGGTTCAAGCTAGATGTGGTCCCAGCACTGAGAAGGGGAAGCAGGCACAGGGTCCCACCCTTAGCCAAGAAATTATCTGCAATTGATACCTGCTGCCAAAGAAAAAAAGATCAATTTTCTCCAATGGAGTCTCACTGGGTATAAAAATGACCCTTCAGGGTAGGCCCCATGCCCAGGAGTAATTGGTCAACATAAAACAAACTCAGTGGTATTTCTGTAGACTTTTTGTTTGGACATTTTTCTTTTATCTTATTGATCTTTTGCTTTTTCATTTTTATTTTTGTGGGTAAAGTATTTTGTTGTTTATTTATGAGAGAGAGAGACAGAGGAGAGAGAGACAGAGAAAGAGAGAGAGAGGGAGAACATATATAAAGTTGGGTAGGTAGAAAGGTGGGAAGGATCTAGGAGGAATTGACAGAAAGTAAAACATGATCAAAATAAAATATATTATGAGAATTTTTTTTCAATAAAAAAGTTTTTAAAATGTATGCTTAGAAATCTTTCCAACTTATAATGTCATGAATGAAGGATCAACATGGAAATGTCACTCAAAATTATCACAGTGATACTAAAGGTAACAATAAATTATCAAGCTAGTTATCAAATAAGGATTCTATACTCAAAATCACAGTGGTTATCTACAAGGAACACAAGGCATTAGGTATCAATTAAATTGGCAGAATGATAAATGTTATCTGTCATCCTCAAGGCATTAGGTCTAAACATGACATTTTTTCCATCTAGAATCTTCCATAGAAAACTGACTGCCATAGCTAGAGGATGATAAAGCAACCCATTTATTCCATTATATAAACGCAATTAAAGCTAAGGGCAAAGCTTCTCTTCACACAGCAAATTTTTCCGTAAAGTGGATCGTCATAGGAAAAAATATAATCTCTCATGAGACTGTAGAGGCCCTCTAAGCCACACAGCAAAACCCAGCTACAGGCATCCATAATTAACATCTAAATCAGCTACTGCAGGCACTGATTGAAAAAAAAAAAAAAACCATTCAAAATCAGAGCTAGCAAAATATAAGAAATAGACCTGTGCTCAGCAGATTCGTTGGGTACCTGATATGTACTGCACTGACCCATCAACTTTTATATGACTAAATTTTATTTACATTGGCACATGACAGATTAAGTAACTTTATTTAATGTAAGAATTCAATTTCCTATGTTCCTACAATTTGAAATAATTTAGCAATCCATCCCTTACTCCCATCAAGACGACACTAACTCTGAAATGAATTTGAATGTTCTGTTGCAAACAAACAAAACAAAAAAACATTGTGTACAGAAGTGCATTAGGTTGTGGAATATTTATTTAACCATGCAAAGATGTGACACATCCACCCATTTAACTATGTAAAGATGTGTTGCATTTGTTTATGTTGCAGAATACTTGTTTAACTATGTAAAGATATGTTGCATTTGTTTTATTATGTAAAGATGTGTTGCTGTTTTACCTTGCCTGCCTAAGGTACCTGATTGGTCTAATAAAAGGCTGAATGGTCAATAGCAAGGGAGGAGGTATATGTGGGACTTCTGGGCAGGAAGAGTAAGGAGGAGGAATTTAGGCTCAAAAATAAAGAAAAAGAGATGCCAGGGGCCAGCCAGCCAGACACAAGAGGAAGCAGGAAAGTAAGATATACAGAATGTAAGAAAGGTAAAAAGCCCTGAGGCAAAACGTAGATGAATAGGAACAGGTTAAATTAAGTTAATACAGCTAGTGGGACAAGCCTAGGATAAGACGGAGCATTCATAATTGAGAATAAGTCTCTGTGTCTTTATGTGGAAGCTGGTTGGTGGTCCAACGAAAATGCCAACTACAGCATTATGCAAAATATAACTGGAATGATAAATGGGTTCCAAGCAGAAGGAAAAGTGATGGGAGCCAGAGAGATGGCTCAGTGGTTAACAATTCTTCCAGGGGATCTGAGTTCAGTTTCCACCACTAACTCCTACAGTTCACAAGTGCTTATAATCCCAGCTCCATGGGATCTGACACCCTCTTCTGGTCTTTTCAGGTACTGCACTCATGTATACATATACTCACACAGATAAACACAAGTATACATGATTTTAAAAATAAAAATCTTTTTAAAAAGAGAGAGGAAGAGAGGATGGGGCAGATGAATGTGTAATGTGAGAACTACACACACAACAAAGGGAAGTATAATATTATACATGGAGACTCAAAGTCTACCACATGTGATTTTTGCCTTTTTTCTTCTTTAATAATTACTCAGAAATAAAAGGACATGACTGTTTTAAAGTTATCTAACTACTATTATGTAAAGAATTTACACAGGGTGTCTGGACCATAAATTATGCCAACAGAAAAAGTAAAACTGAAGTGTTGTTCATAGCCAGAACGTAAAAGCAAAATGCATTTTTAAGCCTATAACGTCTTTGTTTCTGACAAGGAAAAACGCTAAGAGAGCCCATCTGATTTTGTTTTGATATATACACTATCACATTTTACTTTTGACTGTAACATTTTTGGACACTGAAAACTTGTAGTAATTTAATCTCCTGTTAGAGTTGAATAACTGTATTTTGAGTCTAGACGAAATAAGTTTCCTGAGTTCCGGGAAATAGCATCTTGTTACATTTTGTAGCAGTTTCCTGCTTTTAAGTGCACACTTACATCCACGTCGCAGCTGTATTCTGATCCATCCAGAAGTGTCACTTTGCACTGCATGCTTTTAGGCCTTTTCACGATCTTTAATGGGGACCGTGAGAGTTTGCTGCTGGATGATTTCTGAGAGAGTTTATCGTCTTCAAATTGCTGATACTCAAGTTGTTTTGCAGCTGCGGCAGCGAAGTCCCGGTCCTTGTCACTGACCTGTAGACACCAACAATGAGCACCTTTCATAACAGACAGGAAATGGAGACTGAATTACTCAGATACCGCACAGCTCCAGAGAGAGAGGCTGCGGTCCCGTTTCCTAGAGGATGTGAGCTGTCTCAACTAGGATGCTAGGAGTAGATACACAGATTTGAATATTCCTGAAGCCCAGTTACACCTAAATAATGCCACCCACTTACATGTACCACTAGGGCCCTTTCTCAGCTGACCCAAGACTTAATAGAGAAGAGAATATAATTCAAAGGCATTGGTCTCAAAAACACCACTGTTTTCATAACCATACTTCTGCATTCCTTGACCTGTTAGATCCACCCCTCCCCCATACACTTACAAGATAAAAATGTTAAGGCTTAGAAAGCTGTGCTAATCTTGTCAGTAATTTTACAAGTGCTAAAATACTCGATTCTGCTCTGAATCAGTTCTCTGAAGTCAGCAGTGCTGAAGTTCAACACAATGTAATCCCCTGGGTCTGTTCTCTTCCCGGTAATGAGCTGGTGTGAGGACAGATCAAAAGTGTGTGAAGCTTTAATCTGCTGAATCTCTATAGTCTGTTCTAGGACAGTCTCACAACTGCAGAGAAACATCCTATGGACCATGAACTTCTCCCCCAGCCAGCTCCCCAGCGTCTCTGAACGCCGCTCCCCAGATGTTTCTGCACCCTTCTCCTATCTGATCACCACAACGGTGGCATGCAAACCTGATGCATGGCTGGATGGTTTGTAACACCAACAATGCATGGAAAAAGACACCAATGTTCAGGGCTGACTCTCAGAATTAACACAGGATTTCTCACACGTCAACCCACGGGCTGACACAGACAACTCAAAGTGCCTGGGATCTTGAGTAAAGACAGAATTGATGGTTTATTATTTCAACTTTTACTACTTTCTACTATTTTATGAGCAGAGTCATTTTAGTGTATTAGTTTTAGACCTTTGGTATAGATTTCTGTTTTCCCTGCATTTTCTACCTTGATTTTCATATACAAGATTAAGAATGCAGTCCTTTCTTTTACCAAAAGTGTCCATGAATTATAAGCAGTTCTTAACATAAGACAATTTTGCCAAATTTCTAAAAAAAAAACCCCAAAACCTAAAGTGGTGAATGTCTGTTCTTCTATGTATGTTTCTAAATCACTGATGCGGGAGGATGCCAAGTTGGAGGCCTACCTTAAAACAATTAAATAAACAATGACTGAATGGCCAACTTGAAAAGCCAAGGCAATTGAGAAAGTAAACTTCAACAAGTCAATAAACTAAAAACAAAACAAAAATCCATTTTGACAACTCATTCCAACAATTTTGACTGTATGAAAGCATCAAAATGGTCAATGCAAGAAAGCTATGAAATGTCATTATCTGTCCTTGACATAGTTTAGGGAGAAGTACAGTAATCCTGGAATTATCAACCATGATACATCTTATCATGTATATAATTTATATACAATCTCAACATACTTAAATTATTGTCTTCTTACAGGCAAAGCCAATTGACGCTACTTTGAACTTAAATTTTGCTGGAATCACGGTTTTCTATATACTACACAAGATAAGACTTTGTTTTCCCACCACTAAAAGTATCTGTATGAAAATAAACTCTCTAGTTGAGTTAAGCGTTGCTCACTTGTCTTGTGCAGATGTTAAGTGACTATCACTCAAGGACAGATCTTTCTGGAACACATAAAAGAGGAATCTACCACTGAGGCTTTTACAAGCCAAGTCTGGAAAAGCAGACCAAGTTTCTCAAATGAACTGCCAATTATAGTCATGTGATACATGGCTGTCAATCATTTTAGCAAACCCTCCACTCCACTCAGTCTTCCTTGTTGCTTTGATGTGTAGTTACTACAAAGCTCAGGTATAAATGAATGAGAAGCAACAGGACCAGGAAGGCTTGGAAACTTCCCAAAGGATCAAAAATTTAGCAAATTCAAATCCAGCCACATTTAAATAATCATTCTATGACCAAATATACTGAACTTTATTTCTAACATTGCTTCTAGGTGTGAAGAAAAGATCTTGGTACCTTAAAAATGATTCCTGTTAACATTTTGTAAAGGTGGAATGTGAGGACCAGAGGCCCCCAAAGCAGAACAATGGTGGCATGAGACAGGATTTACTCAGGTCTCTGCCCTGTGCATCCAGGCACATTTCCCTCTGCAGGTTCAGTATCATATCATATCCCTTGTTGGTTTCAAATATATGACTATGGGAGATAAAGTACAGTCATGGCCCATGTAACACCACACAAACTACATATACGACAGTGGTCGCTTAAGACATAAGAGCTGAATTGGTTGAAAGGGCTCTGGGGGGAGTTGTACAGGGGAAATAGGGGCAGAAGTGGATGTTTCATCATACACATGTATGAAATTCTCAAGAATAAAGAAAAATTAATGTAAACATATAATTCCTGTTGTGTTGTGATAGAGTTGCTGTTGTAAATCCAAAACACTACCCAGCTCATGTGTCTACAATGATCTGTATTATCAGATACATGAAAGTCCAGCTGGGACACTTATGTACAGCAAATAATGCTTAATGATAAATGATCATATTATTGGTTCATGGATTTACTGTAATACACTTTTAAACAATACTACAGTATGGCGTTCCTACTCATAAAAATGTTTACTACGGAACGCTGTTACGACAGAGGCAGTACACACCTCAGGTTTGCCAAGCCTCTTGACCACATCCTTTCCTTCATTTTCTAAAGGTTTATTTATTTTATTTTATGTGCATGAGTGCTTTGCCTGCATGCATGTATGTTCACCACCTGGTGCCTGCAGAGGCCAGAAAAGGGATTACAATCTCCTGGAACTTAAGTTCTGGAGGTTGTGAGCAACGGAACGCATTCTGGGAACTGAACCCAGACCTTCTGCAAGAGCAGCCAGTGCTCTTAATTGCCGGGCCATCTGTCCAGCCCCATTCATGCTAGCTAAAAAACAGAACTTGCAAATGCCATGTGACCACAGTAAAATACTCCGCCTCATAAACGAGTGTTCAATGTCATAGTAACATGTTGTAATGCTGTGGGTTCCGGAGTCTTTCACTCACAGGCTAACTTCATGACCATTCACTAAACATCTTCTAAAATTTCTAACTACGCAAACCCTTCAGAACATGAAGAGGTCAGTCACTCCTTGGGCCCCAGACTCCTTTACCATGCACAAGTTAGCACTCTAAAATATGCAGTTTTTTTTTTGAAGTTTCAAGACTATACTGATTCATCCTAGTCATCATCATACTTTATTCTTTTGATTTTATTTACATATTTATATTGACTTATTGATGTTTTTTCATTTTGATCATAGTGGGGATGGAACCAAACTTCCACAGGCTAAGTATGTACCCCACCACTGAGCTCCATCTCACAAAGGGCAGAGGTAATTGCTCCTGACATCCCCAACATGCATAAGGAACTTACAGATGCATATGAGGGAGAGAGAGTCCCATTCAAATACAGTCACTAAAAGTAGATGATGATGTTTGGGTGGGTCAGAGCAATGGCTGGGAAAATTAATTCTGCCTTCATCTGTTACAGTTTGAAATGAAAAGAGTCAGAGGCATAACCACGGCTGCCAGCTTGCTACCTGCCCTTCCGGTAAACTCAGATCTAGGAAGAATTTCCAGTTGGGAGTTCAGCTGAGTGTTAACCATTTTAATCAAAGGCAGGAGGTACCACTCCAGGCTGAGGAATGTCACTCACTGAAAGCCGTCAACAGCAACACCACTGACCCCCGGGGTGAGAGGGCAAAAGCAGGTGACCTTCGTAGTTGCCCTTAGGGCTGAGAGGTAGCAGCACTGCTCAGCCTGGTCCCTTGACTGACCCTCCCCAGAGATGCTCCAGGCTCACCTCCCTCTTCACCGGGGTGCTGTGTGCAGCAGCTTCAGGAAACTGCTCAAGTGCTGGTGGCTCCTCGCTGATTCCACTGGGAGGCTCTGGTCCGGGCTGTGCCCCTGCGTGTCCCTGAGGCCCCGCTGCCTCCTGAGGCTCAGCCTCCTGGTCTGGCTTGGATTCTGAGTCTGATCCTGATTCGGTCGTCATGGTTGATTGTTCTGCAAGCAGAAAGAGAGGCAAGGGCCTGTCACTAGGGGCAATGATCTTCCAGGAGATCCAGTATGAAAGGGAGGACGGGGGGGGGGGGGGGGGAGCTGTGCCACAGCCAATCACAGTCCTACACTGCACCCCAGAGAGGCACTGGGTAGAGGTACCACAAAGAGTGGTCCTCACAGTGGCTCAAAATGGACACGTAACACTGTGAAGCCATTGAAAAAAATGTCTTCATAACACTGGGCTGTAGGCAAGTCTGTAGGGTATATTCTGAATTAGTGATTGATAGAAGAGGGTGCAGTCCATTGTGGGTGATGCCACCCCTGGGCTGGTGGTCCTGGGTTCTGTAAGAAAGCAGGCTGAGCAAGCCATGGGGAGCAAGCCAGTAAGCAGCACCCCTCCATGGCCTCTGCATTAGCTCCTGCCTCCAGGTTCCTGCCCTGTTTGGGTTCCTGTCCTGACTTCCTGCAATAATGAACAGTGATATTGAAGGGTAAGCCAAATAAACCCTTTTACCCCCAACTTGCTTTTGGTCATGGTGTTTCATCATAGCAATAGAAACTCTAACTAGGACAAACACACACTAAAAATTAATCTGTAATGATCAACAGGGTCATAATAGATCGTGGACACAGATGAAATTTCAAAATCATCACACTAATTAGGGTAGCAGATGAGGAATATGTGCTTGCTGAATCTGTATATTATAATACCTGTGAAGGATGAGCTGTAAGATTAGATATTCCACTGACTTCTCAACTCTACACTAAGGACTCTCCCATCCCCAAATCTATAAATTTTTCTATAAACAGTAAATGCCTTTTTCATTTGTTTTCACCTAATTCTGCTATTTCCTTTTGAATTAAAATATGCAAATACACAGGAAGCTTCACACCAGCAGCATCTATTATGTGGCTGCAGGGCATCATATGTCCCTGTCTCTCCCTCCCTCCCATGTCTTTCCTGGCTCCCTCCTACTGCCTGTGAACACTGAAAGATGATGCTGTCTCACACCTCACAAAAAATTCAAACAAACATCTTCATGAGTAAGACGCTGCTACATCCTAAAAACATCTTGGGTCACAAAACCACCACCTTCTAACACAGTGCTAGGCCAGGCTAGCATTTCGTGCCTCAGTTTCCACATGTGCCAAATGAGAAGGCCAAACATGTTCAAACCCAAATAATAGACTTCCTCTTGTTCACAGAAATGCCCCACGTCTTAAAGCCCATTCTTTCTGTGTCTAGGAGAGATGCTATGCCAAGCAGATTTGACATTTAAGTAATTTGCATACAAACAGTAAATAGTCTAGAGATAATATGTCTTTTACAATTTCCTTTCACAATTCTAAAGCCCTGGTTTTTAAAAAAATATTCAGAGCAAAGGGCTAGTGTAATATCTTAAGTGACTGACACATGCCCTGGTATGATATGGGATTATGAAACTATGACCAGTGACTCTACAGGAAACCCATCATTTAGTAATTAAACTATTGCCGTAAAGGAACATTACAAACACCAATCAGCGCTTTATCCATACTCTTCACGTAGGGTTCTTTCTCTCAGTCACTGGCTAGTTCTTCGGTTGAATAAAAGACATATCAACTTGGCATGTGCTGAGCCACCCTAAGCAATGTAAATATCAAACCCTGAACAAGACTGTGCGCTACACTATCATTACACATTAGCTTTTTAAACACATCTTGAAAGCAAACACTGCCTTTCCTTGGCTGCTTATTCTGGAAGCTGGTATGAGTACGAAGGAATTGTGTGTGTGTGTGTGTGTGTGTGTGTGTGTGTGTGTGTGTGTGTGTGTGTGTGTGTTTGTGTGTGTGTGTGTGTGTGTGTGTTGAAGGAGGGTTAGCATTGTGAAATTCAGATTCCGTGATGAATTTCAGGAAGGTGAAGATAGTTCTAGCAGTCAATTCATCTGAGGACCAAAGGCAAGCCAGTTAATGTGGTTTACCAACAATTACAACACAGGACCACCCCCCCCCCCACACACACACCCTGACTTCTAGCCCCAAGGACTGCTACATCTAAGGCAGTGCATCTCAACCTTCCTAATGCTGCGACCCTTTAATACAGCTCCTCATATTGTAGTGACGCCCAACCATAAAATTATTTCATTACTACTGTATAACTGTAATTGTCCTACTGTTATGAATCGTAATATAAATATCTGATGTGACCCCTGTGGGGGTCACAACCCACAGGTTGAGAACCACCATTCTAAAGTAAAACCCATTTCCTCCTGTCTTCTTTTAGTCCAACTATCATTCCTCCTAGCTTGAGGATGTGAAGAGGTGTGAGGACAGGATCAAGTCTGGACAATAAGACAACTGAAAATACACATTAGGCACCATTACTAGGTCCAGGACCTATGGTTGGATAGGGCATGGGCTGTAAAGGAGAATCTAATATTACCATCCTGTTAAGTGGACATAGTAATAAACAGACTCCTAATAGCTTATCTTTACACCCGTAGATTAGTGCATCTACAAGACGTCATCCGTGAAGCTTCTTTTTGCAGTAGATGGTGATTAACACAGAGACCCATGACTGGTCAAGGGGCAAAAAGTGAGAGAGTTCAGAATGCTCAGCCCTAACTGGGGCATCTATATCATACCTCCTCCTCCCAAGGCTCAAGAATCATTGAGGAAGAGGAGGCAGAAAGACCCTAAGAGCCAGAAGCGGCAAACAAATACAACAGAAGGGTATTTTCTAGACACACTAGGGCAGCTACACACATTAGCTTACAGCAGTTACGACAGCACACACAGAACCTGTGCAAACTCAAGACGGACGGACAAAACCCCCACAGGAAGTCCCACCCATAAATGAGGAGCTTTTGGCAACTGGAAGCTGCTGGAACAGGAAAACTGGGTGTTCTTTGAGGGTGTGGTCCCTGGTAGGTGGTCCATGTTCCAGTCGATGGTCCTACACCCAAGTATACAGGTAGCACAAGTTGGATTCAGTAATTTAAATCTTTTTTTAAAAAGACAATGCTAGGTAGGCAGGGAAGAGATGAGCAGATCTGGGAGGAGCTGGGGTGAAGATGATTGGATACATTGTGTTGAGTTCTCAAAGAATTCATAAAAACATTTTTAAAACATTATTCAATGCCTAGGTCATCTTTATAAAGACAAGCCAGTTGGGAGGAGCTGGGGTGAAGATGATTGGCTACGCTGTGTTGAGTTCTCAAAGAATTCATAAAAACATTTTTAGAACATTATTCAATGCCTAGGTCATCTTTATAAAGACAAGCCAGTTGTCCTAGGCTTCCACCTTAGCTGGAAAATGACAACTAATTACATAGTTTCCTTAGACACACAAGGACATCCGAGCTGCCACCTATTTTGGATTGTTCTGAGACAGTAATGTCTGCTTAGCACACACACCTACAGCCAGTGTACTACAGAAAAGGCAGATCCAGCTCACCCCTTCAGCTACCGGCCTGTTTCTGTCTCACTGTCTCTCTTTTCTCCACCACCAACCCATTCCAGCTGGTGATTCCACCATGGCACTGGTGTGGCTCTTACAGCCAACGTAACAGACCATCAGGACATGCCTGTTCCTCATCTGATTACCTGGCAGCCCTGACTCTGAAAGTAGACGTCCTTGTCAACACAACTGTTGGTCTTGGGGCTCAGGACACACCATTCATTCTGGCTTTCTTCCTGCCTGGGGATCCTCCTCTTCTGAGCTGCAAGCTGCTTTTCTAGACCAGTCCTACATTCAGTCCAATCAGGGAACTCTATTCTGGACCTTCTTCTCCAAGTTTTCACCACGGTAGGCTTCCCAGGGCTGTAAATATTTCCTGTGTCCCATGTCCCCATCTCCAGCTCAGAGCTGTTTTGTGCTCAGAGCTGGGATCAGAACCACCCACTTGCCAACATTCCTGAAGTCTTTCTTGCTCTCTCTCCCAAAGCTGTTTCCCTATGTCTTCCTCTCCCTTGCCTCAGAAAGGGCAATGTTGTTTTCTTCAAGTCACGTTTCCAGAAACCTGATACTTCCCTTACCTTATTTATCTAACTTAAAATATGATGGTTCTATTTCCCAAATCCACTCGGAACTGGCTCCCTATGTGAGCCCCATGATTTCTCCACTAATTCCTTTTTACCCCCGATTCTCTTCCCAGTTCCACTGCTGCTCACCTCTGTCTAATCTTCACAAAACATAAGTCCAATCTATGACTCACTGGTGGGAACCCTTTAACAGCTTCCCAGTGCACGCAAGTAAATCTAAATTCCTAATTACCGTGGTCTTAAAAGCTATGGCTAGGACCCAACTCCCTGCTTGGCGGCCACTGTCTATTCCCTCCAACACAAAACAGGCTCTCTTTACTTATCTAAATCATACCAGTCTTCTAGAAGTCTCAAGGTTTTGGAGACATGGAAGACACATTTTTCCTTGCTCTTAAAGAGTCAATTTCCCATTCTTCAAGTGTTGGCAGAAAAGCCCTCCTTGGTCACACAGCTGTTTTATCTGTGTCTTAAGAGTTTCCTCTCGCTGGGCGGTGGTGGCGCACGCCTTTAATCCCAGCACTCGGGAGGCAGAGCCAGGCGGATCGCTGTGAGTTCGAGGCCAGCCTGGGCTACCAAGTGAGTTCCAGGAAAGGCGCAAAGCTACACAGAGAAACCCTGTCTCGAAAAACCAAAAAAAAAAAAAAGAGTTTCCTCTCTACAATTACCCAATATCATAGTCATTCTCTGCTCTTCTAAAATTTCACCTATATATCTCACAGTGAGATTCATGTGTATTTATGCCCCAATATCCTCAGCATCAAAACATAGCCAGGCACATGGTACTATAATAATTATTTGCAGAAACTAACTTCTTTTATTCTTAGGTATACATACTTAAAGGCATAACACTCTTCCTCTTAAGCAGGTCAAGCTACACAACTGTCTCGCTCATGCAGAGGGCCTAGTCCAGTCCCATGGGGGCTTCACAGCTATTGGTCCACAGTTCATGAGTCCCACTAGTTTGGTTTGGTGGGGGC